TCATGCGGTGTGCTGTCACTTTGGCAACAGTGCCGTTCGTGTACCGTAAGGTTTAGGATGTTTCAAATGTGGGCGTTACCCAAGACTCCGCCTAATATTTTTCAAGGGAATTATATTTTTACAGTTTCTGTTTCTGTAATTTCCATAGTAATATATTCAAAGAAATTGAACAGAAAATGAAATATGATAAAGGGGTTTAATGGAATGAAAAGTTTTTTTCCATATGAATTGTAAATCATTATAAGACAAACAGTTTATCTCTTACCTTTAAACTCCTCGTCTCTCTTAATGGAGAATATACCTACTATTGAATGAAATAGACTATTTCAATTGGAAAACTTTGAATTAAATATAGTGAATATATTATCATCCTCTCCATCTACATCTGCATCCTTGTCATTAGTGTTATTACATGGAAATTAATCTATTAAAGGCAGATCATTTTTCAAAATTTCTAATAACATTCTTCTGTTGTAGTTATATTCAGTGACTATCATTTACCAAATTCATAAAATTGTAAATATGGAAGTAGGCCTATATTTTATTTCAGTGATGTCCATATCCCGTCAGAGTGTAAGGGTTGCCAGTCGGAAGTGTATGTCGTTGTTTTAGGGGCACTGTATATATGTAGGAGAAAATATTATGCATTGTAAAGATGTTAGGGTAGCTATAATCATTTAGAACATTTAATGTGGAAGATACTTAAGTTTAAGCATAGAATTTTTAAAGCTTGATATATAATAGAGCTGTCCGTGCAGATCAGCAACCATGCTCCAACTTCAGCAGTCGTTTTAAGCAGCAAACAGTGCAGTTCTTGGCCTCGGAGTGATGGTTCTTAACCAAGTAAACCTGCTTAAAATGCCTTTATTTCCATTCATTTTTCCAAGGCTAGAAAACTTCACCTTGTACCATTAGGCTGTGTGAAACTGTAACTATACCCTTTTTCCATCTTCATCATCATTGCCTTTGATCATGCTTGTTTTCATATTTCTTTACCGTTTTCTTCAACTTCGTTTAATTTTTCAGCTTTTCTTTTCTTTTCCTCCTCCTCCTCCTCCTCCTCCTCCTCCTCCTCCTCCTCCTCCTCCTCCTCCTCCTCCTCCTCCTCCTCCTCCTCCTCCTCCTCTCCTCCTCCTCCTCTCTCTCTTCTCCTCTCCTCCTCTCCTCCTTCCTCCTCCTCCTCCTCCTCCTCTTCCTCCTCCCTCCTCCTCCTCCTCTTCCTCCTCCTCCTCTACCTCCTTCTCTTCCTCCTCTCTTCCTCCTCCTCCTCCTCCTCTCCTCCTCCTCCTCCTCCTTCCTCCTCCTCCTCCTCCTCCTCCCTCCTCCTCCTCCTCCTCTCCTCCTCCTCCTTCATCAAGCAGTACCATTGCTTCCTTTATTTTGGGATAGTATTAGATGTATTCATTGTAGAAAGTTATCATACTAAAAAAAGTGAGTAAAGGAGTAAAGACTTGAAACTCCCAGACTATCATATCAAGAACTAGTTTCAGAGGATCATCTTTCAGTGATTATATGGTATTGTATGTGTTTCATCAGTTCAAGTTAACTGATGTAGTCTATGTATATATATATATATATATATATATATATAGTATGTATATATATGTATATATATATATATATGTATGTATATATATGTATGTATATATATGTATTATATATATGTATATATATATATATATATGTATATCTATATGTATATATATGTATATATATGTATATATATATATATATATATATATATGTATATATATATATATGTATATATATGTATATATGTATATATATATATCCCCCAACAACAAACTTAAAAGCAAAGAACAAGTTTAGATATATTCTCTGCGATATGGATGCAGCGGGTGAAGACCAGTTGTAAATATTGAGGAAGGAGTGCCTGCAGATATGAACACTTTTCATTGTACTCTATATTCTAATATATGTAAGGGGAGGAGAGCAGAGGTGGAGGGATGAGGTGTGTCAGCCATGTAGAATATGAACCAGATTTTACTGGTTTACTTGTCATTCTTTCTCTTAATTATATATTATTTTCTTTTGCATAGAATTTTTCATATTTATTGACTTGTTTAGTGACTTACTTAACCTTTTTATCAGCTCAACTATTTATGTATTTATGTCCCCAGGGGAGCTCTACACCTCGGAGAAGCATGGCTCAGATGAGACGGGGGATGGTACTGCTGACCGTCCCTTGAAGACGGCCATGCAGGCCATGCGCAAGGCTGGCAAGGAGCCTTTCCCCACCATCTATGTTGACGCTAAAGAGGAAGGACAGGTTGGGATTTGTGCATATTGAGCTTATTGTCTTTTTTTATTATTATTATTATTATTATAAGTATTATTAGGAGATACCTACCTTTGGTAAAAGATGAGTTACTTTGATGTAGATTTTTGTTCATTAGAACACAGTGAAATGAGCTCTTTGTTCAAGGGTTCTATACCATTAGCATCAATAGTAGAACCCGCATTGGATTCTCCGTGCCATTTTGCGTGTCTCAGAGGATGCTGTTGCCTTCTAGAGTGAGGGGCCCAAGGTGTCGGGCAGCAGCAATGCAATAGCCGACATGGCTCCTTGCCTGCAAGCGCTGGACATGCATTTATGTGAGTCCAGTTACCTTGCAGGCCACCCCGACACAAGCCGACACTCTCGCCCACCAGCGGCTAAGAGGGGGAGCCATAGCGACAGCAGAGACCCAAGGTGGAGACTCCCATGGCTACCCCCATGTCGCACGCTGGTGGAGACACATTGAGAGTTTTGGCAGCGAGAGGGAGGGGTTTCCTTCTGCTGACCCTGCTGTTCTGGAGCGGTTTAGCTTAGGGGATGTATGTTTATCGCAGGTGAATGTCGGCTGGTGTGTACAAGTAGCGCAGTTTTAGTAAAAGAAAAATTAAAGGTTTTCACTGTTTTTTCCTTGTGCTTATGCATGGATATAATTGTCTTTGTTGAAACTCGCAGTTGGAATTTTTTTTTGGCAGAATTTAAACCCATTCGCTCCAGATTTCCTATCATATGATGGCAAAAATTTTATCATTTCTGGGAGACACCTAAAAGTCCTGTTTGTCTGGTATGATGCCTTTTACTCAGCCCTGCCAAATTTGATTTGACATTTTAATTTGTGAAATGGGTTAAGTTTTCTCTTGGATAGTAATTCATTGAGTTTCATCCGTTCTTTCTTATGGTACCTGTTCAGTTATTTTTTCATCTTATTTTCATCATCGCTTTCGGTCTCCTGCATTTGGTAATGCCTGCATGGGATTGTGCTTTACAGAGTTTTAAGATAAAAGATTCATTAAATGAAACAATGACTTTCATTCTCAAGTTCGAATCGCTTTAAAAAACATGTTGGGGGGGGGATCTATGGAGAGACTGCTTGTTGGACATTGCCATTAGTTTCATACACAAGTAATGATGACAGTATTGCATGTTTACTTAAATCCATTTTTCAAGTGAATTTTAACTTAAAGTTAGTGTGTGTCCTTATGTACAACTGTAATAGTTATATTAGTAAATGAGTAGTTTATTGTTATTTTTTTCTATTATTATTATTATTATTATTATTATTATTATTATTATTATTATTATTATTATTATTATTATTACTATTGTTATCGTTATTATTTTCATTTTTATCATTGTTATCAATTTTATGGATATGAGTATTATGGTGATGTTGATTATGGTTATTATAGTATATTATCTATTTCTTTTATTTTGATTATTATGATGATTATGATTATGATTTATGGTTGTTATTACATACTATTATATTCTTTTATTAGGATGATAATTATTTTATTATTATTACAGTTAATATTTTGATATTATTATTATTAGTAGTAGTAGTAGTAGTAGTATAATTAATATTATTACTAGCTATTATTTTTTTTTTGTTATTGTCATTATTCATAATGATATTCATATTGTTCTTATTTTTATTATTGTCATACACAGACTGTTGACCCATAGTGATTTTAGAGTATAGTAAAAAATGAAAGAAAGAAAGGAAGTAAAAGTAACATGGTTAACAGAACACAAAATTAGCAAGTGTATTATCTTGAATGTTGAGAACCTTCAACTAAACCGAATATTTTTCATTGTTTTCAGAAATACGAAGTGATTGCGAAGAGTCAGTTGAAGAAGCTCACAAAACTCTGGAAAGATGTAAGTACACATTGGTACATGAAAGTTAAGATTTTTCTGCATAGGTTGCAAAGGCAGATGGTAAAAGCTATTGAATTTGAAAACCAATACTGCAATGACCCATTTTTATGGTAAAGGTCAATTAGTTTCATATAATAGCTATGACTGGTATTACTAGATAAATTGATTTCAGTTGTGGTTTTGAAGTAATAGTAGCAAGGTCTTTAATGTGGAGAGAGATAGGTGATATTGTTTTTTGGGAATAAGAGTCCAATGTTTGATACCACAAATGTTTTTCCATTTTAAGATTCATAGTCAAGAAGTTATTTCAAAGATTGTGGATTTCAGCATCATTAGTTTGAAGGAAAATTTTCCCAAATGACCATGTTCTTTGATCTGAAATAATCACCCAAAATAATGACACCCATTCCAGGAGTGCAAAAAGATTGAAGCTCGGCTCAAGAAAGAGAAGGAAGATGCTGAGAGAGAGGGCGAAGGCCATTGAGGAAGCCAAGAAGGTCGTGATCAACAGAAGACAAGAGCCTGCCGGCCCCACATGCATCAAGATCCGCGACGGGAAGGAAGCACAGAGGAACGTGTCAAAATCAGGGATGGGTCCACAGGCTAAGGAGGCAAAGGTACGTGAGGGAGGAAGAAGCTGTTGGGGCTTGAGTTGTTTATTTGTTTATTGTTTTAATTGATTGAAGAAAAATTTGTCTTCCATAGTCGGATTTTTTTTTTTGAAATTATATATTTATATTATTATTTTATTATTATTATTATTTTTTTTTTTTTTCTTTCTTTTTTTTTTTTAGAAAGAAAGGATTCTTTAAATGATGGTGTTCTTTTTGCAGTGACAGTATTAATATTTTTTTTGAATTTTGACCAAAAAAAATATAAAAAAAATAAAAAATAGAAATAATAAATAATAATAAATAATTTCAGAAAGATAATCTGGTCATGCAGAAAGATAAAAAATAGACAAGAAAGTAAAGATCATTTAATAGATGTTGATTATTATTAATGATATTGAGTATTATTATAATAAATTAATTGATCATGGCTATAGTTGTAATAAGATAATAGTATAGCATATTAGCATTATTTGAAATTGATTAATTAGGAATATTATTCCAGGCAAAAACATGATGTTTTCATCGTTCTGCGAGAATGGCTCAGGATACCTTAGTCAGGTGTGCTGACAGACCAGCTCTGCCAAACGTACGAAAGCCCATCATCCTCAACACACAAGATAAAGCACTGTCACTCTCTATATGGCATGCTGCAGGAGGTGCCAGAGGGGAAGGAGGTCAGTGGAATGTCCAGTGTTTGTTATTATTACTGATGTTTTATTATTTATTCATTTATGTAGATTTTTGTAGATTTGGGTTTTGTCATTATTTAGTTTTATCTGTTTTGGCAGTATGTACATTTACATTTATTTAGAACTGACATACAAATTGACCTATAATATTTGACAACATTTAGTTACAATTAATTCTTGTTCAAGCATTATATATTTTAAGCAAACTCTTATCTGCTTCTACATAAGTTTACCCTCAAGGGTGAGATATAATCTATCGAAATATCATCACAGGTTAGAATTATGGGGAGTCTGGTTAGGGTAAGTTAGTATCACCAGCTGGTGGTGCTGAGGCAGGATCAACGCAGTCTGTTATCAAATTACCCCTGATGTTTGCATTGTTATAATAAATTATACTGGACAAAGCTGAACATACCTTTATATGATTCACTAAGCGGAGAGATCATAATGCTCTATATTAAGGTAAGAGAAAACTAGGCTGTAGGTAGAACAAAAGTGATTCCAATATTGTTATGTTTTTAATGTAGCATGAAGCCTTTTTATTACATAAGCCATTTGAAGGGAAAATCATAATTTTGAAGATTGTGCTTAATTTATGAATTATTTATATCTATATGAAGATTTATGCAATATTTGTAAAACGAAAGTCAACAGATTTAACTTCTGTCACTCCAACATCTTATACACCGCAGTCAGAATAAGTGGATTCAAATATCAATTGACCCAGAAGTTAAAGATCACATTATGGATTATATAATACAACAATATTAGTTAGATCAAAGGTTGATCCTGCACTCCTAGTCGAGTATTATATAACCATTATAAATTACCCAAGTTTACGACACTCCTAATCTACATACCAACCAAATACATAGGGCTCTGTCACCCTCAAAGCTTACTTTCTCAATTCACCCCACCTACCTACCCTACCTCCTTCACTATTGCTAGCTATACCCTAACTTCAGTATTTATTTCTGATTGCTTGTCTTATGCAGGTTGCTTTTATTGCGGCAGTATGTTTATTATGCGTTAATTCAATAATACTTATGAAGGCCTTCGTTAGAACTTCAACTACCACAGACCTTAGCGGCTATGAGTGGCTATCCTCATTATATATTAATTATATATATCAATTATTAAAGTATTAAATATATATTCATTACCCCCCAATACCTTGGTGGCATAGACGGCAGTGTGAGGGATTAGGGGGGTCACACACTTTACTCGATACTTCAATTTCTTTGGTTGGAGTAAAGCCTTACCTATCACCAAGTCAGTACACAGTCTGTACCTATTATACGATAGACGTGATATATTCCTTACTTAGGTGATTTAAGAGGACAATTTTCACCTTTTTTTCTAGTGCATGTTGTATTTTGGGTCTGTCTTTTGTGGTTGTTAAGGATGTTGATTATAATTACCTTATTAATATTACTATGTTTTTTAATTTTTGGTTAGAATTATTATTGTAGTGTTACAATTTATGTTGTAAGCAGGGAAAGTTTAATACTTAAGTAATTGATTTTTCTTATTTACATATCATTATTACCTATATATTAACTTTAGAGATGTATCTTAATGCTTATTGCCTTAACAGTTATTCGGATTAAGATGTGATTTACTGCATTGAGGCAGGTTACCGTTAGATTACATGTAATGCAGTTCTCACGATTAAACCAGAAGGCTATTTAGGCTTCATTACACTTCAACGTTGAGCTGATGAATTTGTCCTTATTCAATTTACAGCTTTGAATGACCTCTGGAATCGGCATTGAGGTATTCTTATATAGTATGCAATCTTTATTTTAGTTGGGTTATAACCAGTCTTTAAATTTAAGTATTATTATTATAATTTTGATATGGTATAACCTTCTTCCTCACATAATAATAATAGGCAGTTATTATAGATTTATTTAATATATATTATGTATTCTATTTAATAATTCATGAATTTTAATTGATTAGTTAATTATTTATATTTACTTATTTATGGAAACTATAATGAATACATATTGCAATAATTTTGATTTTGAATATTTATCATGGATTATTTATTTACTTTACCTGATACTAATATGAATAATTATATATATTACATTGATGTTATCTATGTGAGCTGCAAAACATTTATAATTTCTTTAATCATTACTATAATGCAATGTTTTAATATTATTCTCTCCTACAATTATAATAAGAGTGTAGTAGATGTGGTAAGGACCGAGTGTTGAAACATCCACTATACATGATAAGGCGGAGAGCCTGAATGTTAATGAAGAATCATCCAACCTGATTGTTTTCTTAGTGGCTACCTTAAACTTCAGGTATTACCCTATTATCCTTAGGATGCCATATTATCAAAGACGCTATCATATTACAGTACTTATATTATTAAGGTAAACAATGGTATTTACTCTTAACCTTAAATAGAGGACGGGACGCTGTATATATATTGTATCAGAGTTTTGAGAGAGGTTCATTAAGTTTATTGGTATTTTAGTGTTCAGTGAGTTTTTGTTAGTTTAATCAGTGAGTTTTGAGTGAGAGAGTGATTGTTGAGGAAATTGTGATATAGATATCTGTACTATTTATATTTCTTTGTTAGTGTGAGCAGGAGAATGAGTGTGTGTTTGGTATTTATTAGTATTGAACTAGCTCACAAGGAGGTTGTTTTATATTATTCCTTATTCCTTGTCCAGATTCAGCACATTGTCATGTAAAAGGCCAGTTCATTGGAATTATAGTCTATCGTTCAAATAACCATTTCTTAATTTACTATTCACTTGGAACTTCGCAGTTTGATTTATTAACCCTCCTCTTTTTCATCAATCTCACCATTATTATTATTACTTGTTTTCTTATTTTCCCTTATTATACTGTTACTTTAATAGTTACATTTATTTTTACTTCCATCTATTATTTTCACTACCCTGTACTTAGATAAACTATAAACTTGTCAAGTCATTACAGCAGTCTCACTATTAATTTACTTTCTGGCCTGAGTGCAAATTAATCAATTAATCTATCTATTTACATGCTTTTCATCTGCTTCCACATACTTTTCCATCATTTGTTCGTTCATCTATTACACCTTAACTACTATATAAACATATATATATATACATCAATCATTTTATATATATTATATATTATCATATTCTATTAATCAATATTAATTTTTCTTATTTTATCAATGTTTTAATATCACTTATTTACAATTCACTTCTTCTCTTTAATATATATTTTTAGTTATCTATTTATCTCTTTGTTACTTAAGACACTATTTATTTAGCTAACATTTATCTCCCCTTAATCCTCCAATAGGACATTATTCACTTATTATGAAGTTGTTCATGATGCTTAGCAATGATAATGATTCAAGACATGATTCACGTGATTTACAGACCATTCTCTGCTTTGAAATATATATCACTAAGCTTATCCCTGCGGGTATTTTACAGTCGCCTTCTATATAGTTTTCCGTGTGAAGGATGACTATAAGATTTAGCCCTCAACTGAAAATACTGTGAGTATTCATTCCATCTTAATTACTTGTCAGTTTTTGATTTAATGTTATATTATTACTACTGTTTGTAGTTATTAGATTATGTATGAATAGGATTATCAATATTTGCTTAATTAATTTAGTTCGTTCTTGTTGTAAAATATAAAAATAGATAACTGCATATGGACATTTTATTAATGTAAGGGTAATAAAAGTCTATGAACTAAAACTACTTCCAAAAGCAATTTTTGAGATTTACAAAAAATGTTTATTACAGCATAAAACCTTTGATAAAATATTAATTATCATTTATTATTGGCATCTTATATTACTTATGATTATGCATTATACACTTAATAACGCATCGGTAACTTATTTAGAAAATATTATTGTTGATAATATCATTATTGAAATTGAAATAATGTTTTTAATTAGATTGATTATATAATTATCATTATTATTTCTTATATTAGTTATATATTATGTTAGATATTTATTATCTATAGTTATCATCCATTATATTTACTATTATTATTGGTTCATTATTTAATTAGGGATATTATTATGATTTCATCTGATATGTAATGTATAATTAATATAAACTTAAGTTATTTGGTATCCACACATAACTGATTATTATTAATTTTGTTTACTTAAAATTATTAATTAACTCACACTGCTGGATTCAATAATACT